CAGAAGAAAGCAGGTGTTTGGTCTTTCCTGCAGTCTAGGCTAAACTGATTCTGGAGGGCTGTGTCCAGTGCCTGGAGCAAAAGAAAATGACCCATAGTTGCTGGGCAGATCCCAATTCCTGACTGTACCAGCAACCAAATGATGCGTGAAGCATGCCATGGAAGCAGTGGTGTTGGGAGAACAAGGAACTGGAATAGGTAAGGATGACTTCAAGCTCCTTCAGCTGTTGGCTGGGGATGAGATGAAGAAAGTGTCATGAGTAGCTATTGGGCCATTTTTAATGGTGGTTAGGGTCCAGTGAGTCGGTGTCCTAGGGCTACCAATCCATGTCTGTTTGCTGCCATTAGCGTTATCTGGATTTCTGCAAACCAGATCTGGTAACTAGTGAATCAGTCACATTCAATGCATTTGCTATCTTAATGTACCTTCAACAAGGAAATTCTCAAAAAAAGAAGTTTTTAATATCTTCTTGCTGCAGATACTATGCAGTGTTTGAAAACATTGTTCATAATTTTACTGATAAACTCTAATCTCCCTTTATGTTTACCCTTTTCTTTAGAATCTCTTTAGCATTCCAAGTTGGTTAGACATCTTACAAAACTTCAGGGAAGACACTGGATCCTTTGCCTCTTGTAAAGCCACACTACTCAAAATGATAGGAGTTTGCCTAGAAAAGAGATACAGCTACAGTTATTTTTAACTTTCTTTTCCCCTTAATTCTGAAGTCAGAGTTGTTGGACTACCAGCACTTTCTTCCATCTATAGTTTATTCTTATGATCTCTGTCAACTTGATTGATTAGCACTAGAGTGAAAGGAAAAATGTCTTAAATATCTCAAACTGTTGGATAATATATAATTATTTGAACACAAATGTTAGCTCATCAATAGTGAACCAAACTAATTGAGCGTTGATATTTACTTAGTCAAAATAGTATGCACCACACTGTACTCACATAAATGCTTGTTGGGTGTGCTTTGACGTTTGCGGAAACATCCCTCCAACCTGTAGGAAAACACTTAAGTACCCAAGGATGGGTACTCAAATACTCCATGAGGATAGAGTATGATCAATAGCTCCTGAATTCTAGATGAATGTTGATGGGGTATAAATACAGGGAGAGGGCAAATGGAATAGGCAGTGTTGGAAGAAGGGATGCAACTCTTAGTAGGAGGACCACCCACTGCAATATTTTTGTTACTATTGATTGTGTTGAGTTGTTCAATCAGTTCCAACTCATTATGACCCAATGGACATCATTTCACTAGGACAGTCTATCTCTAACTGCATCTATGAGTTCTTGTAACTGCATGCTTGTGTCATCTGTGATCTACCCAACTTGTCAGCATTTTTTAATATTACATTACATTGAGAATAGTTATATATTACTGTAACTAACAGTCATTACATAGATCTACAGGTAAAGGGGAAAAAAAAATATAAGCAACAGTTTCAATGTTCCGTGATAGAATCAACAGAGAAATATTTTGTACAAGACATTAACTCTAATGTTAACTGCAAAACATACGTGTTTAATCTAATGCTGGTTCTTTAACACAATGCACCTTTACTAGTCATACTAGTGAACTACTGGCTGGTTGATAATCAATCATGGGCATTCTAATCGATGTTTTCATATTTTGACAGTTAAATAGCCTGCTTCCTGTCCATGCCAGCTTATGTTTGAACTTGTATGGAGGTTCTAGCAGAGGAACAGAGCTGCTGTATAATTGCAGCTGGAGAACTGTGCATGCCTTCTACCAGGGATGGCTGTTTTCTTCCACCAAGCATGCAGATTCAGGATAGATACACATGGAGTAATGAGGGAAGGACTGGGGCATCTGATTGGCCAGCTAGATGAGCTGCTTCACTGTGAGCTGATGCTCACTGGAGTGACAAATGTTGCAGCCAGATTGCCCTAACATCCAATTTAAATGAATCCAGATTATTTTATACTCAACTGTGATATAGCTACCTTATGACATTAAACTGAAAATAGATGGTATGGTAACAACCTGCAACATTTTACTACCTAAGGAAAGCAACTGACGGCAGTTTCCAAGTTAGGAGGCAAAGTGTCCAAAAGAAGACTAGATATTTTGACATCTGAAACAGAAATCCTACAGATATTTTCCCTGGCGGCAACAGTACAATAATGTGCTGTTAAACTTGGTAACAATCTGCTCCCTTTCACGACATCCCAAAGCATACCTTTTACAAAGGGGGACCTGTCACAGAATCAATTCTGTTGTGATCTTTGCATTCCAGAAGTCCAAAAATGAAGCTATAATCAATAACCAACCAATTTATTAACTAATGCTTGAAAGTAATGATATAAAGGTAAGTAATAACAATTGACAATTGGAAGGGACTATAACACAAATAATACTTAAAGCTAATATACAAATAAATCAAATAAGAAGCAGTAGTAACCCATGAGAATTTAGCACATCTTTCAGTTCAGTGAGAGAAAGGCAAGTTGTTCAGAGAATTCAATTCAATTCAACACTGAATACAAAAAGAGATAGAGGCGTGGAGTTCCAAGAATATCAGGGGAAATGAGAGAAGTTTAAAGAAATGCTTAACTTTATACAGTGCTCAGCTATAAGAGTAGGTAAAAAGAGAAACACCAAGACGCTTGCTGCAACAAAAGCCGAAATTTTGAAAGCTTGTTATTATAGTAAAGAAGGAGAAATTTACAAGATATGACATTCACACATATATGCTAAGGGGAGGCACCTTTTGCACAGGTACCATTTCACTTGGGAATAGAGAAATAGAGAAAATGTTTCAGGATTGAAGTGGGGCAGAGGAGGGGATGAGGAATTTCCTCTCCTTTGCAACCTGTGGCAGAGTTCTGATCTCCGAAGTTCATGGTTCAATCCTATAATAGTTGGAAGGGAAGGAAGATAAAGAGTCCCTTTCAATAACTGCTTTGCCAATGCTCTTTAGTTGCCTTGTTCAGTGTAGTTTTGAAACCATGAAACTGGGGACCCCAGCCAGTTAAAAAAGTGGGTTTTGATATACTCCTCCTTTATCTGATTCTGGATCCAACTGAGCAAGTGAAGCTGTCTCACTCTTCCAGGCTCTGAAACCAAGCTAGCCCAGCTGCTTCAGGGACACCAGAAGATAGTACTTCTAAAGTCTAGAGAAAGCAATGTATTGGAGGTTTGGTCCAGCTCCTGTAAGGCCCAGCATCCTTCTTGGGACTGCACTGCAAGTCCAACTCAGTGGAGGACTCTGATCTCTTGAAGGTCATGCTGGCTGTGTTCAAGTCCAGTTTGGGGTGGTGAAAGTGTCAGCTTCAGAAGGGTCAAAAAGGGTTCTACCTGGCATGAACCAAAAGCCTGGCAAGTGGAAGGGAGGGGAATGCTCAGGGCAGGCTGTCCCTTTCTGCATTTCTTCTGAGTGACTTCAGCCATGAGTAGAGATGAAAACGAGAGCAGAGCAAGAGCAAGCTCAAGCTCAAACAAGCCCAAGGTAGCCCCAAAGGGTGGAGTTTTCCTTCTCATTCTATAAGAGGTTTCTGCCCTGAAGCAAAAGTATTACTAGTCCAGATAATCCCATCTTGGAAAAACTGGGGGACAAACAATCAAGCCAGAAAGTGATCAAAACTACTTCCAGTACCTTTTAGTTAAGAAAAAGGTTTCAAGGAACATCAGATGAGTCATCGAGTCACTAATGCCCATTCCTCTGATTAACAGAGTACATGATCCTGATGCTACCAGAGACGGATACCAACTTGCTACATCTGCCATCGTTTTACCAAACAACTATGCAAATGGAAAGAATTGAGGGGGATGTCTGGGTAATCTTAGCTTGGAAAGATCATCCTTGAGTCATTTTACTTATAATGTTTATTCCCTGTATTGTAGCATTGTTGTACCCCGGGAATAATTGAAGGGAGTATTGAAGGCACCCTGCTTTTCTTCAAACTGGGGTTCTTTTTGCAACAAGACTCCTTGTAATGCATAAGGGTATCAGTTTTGGCTGAAAAAGGCAACTGTTCCCCGTAAACAGTATTTGTGACCTCTTGATTTGACCACAGTGTCAAATTTGCACACACCTTAAGCCAAATCATGTAACATATCACTCTGTCTAATAGTAGGACCAACCTAATTAAAGGCTAGATTTGTGACATCTAAATTATGCATCAGAATGATGACAACAGTCTCTACCGGCCAATATTTCAAAAGTTAATCCTTTCAGTTGTGTCTTTTAAAAGTTATTTTAAACGGGCCATCAGAGATCAATTAAGAAAATATCATAAAATCCTTTGGGGCCTAATTAAAAAGTTTTTCTATTAAAGTAAAACTGTAATTGCAAATTAAGTGCTTGATCTGGCCAAGTGTTGAGCCTTGTAGTCCTCCCTGAATTTCCAGCAACTGAACTAAACTTCTTCCAGAATGAGGCCCAGAAAACTCTAGGGTCTTGTTTAAAGTAATTGATGTTGAACTATACAAGAGTTATATTTAACCTATATTTCCATCTGTGCTCTCCAATGAATTATAGCAATGAAGCTTTCAGGCTAAACCTTGCTTCTAGGAACTGATTGTGAATATTGCTTTGAAAACTCCGTATCAGTATAGGCAATATGTAAGAGTGTACAGATACGATTATGCTATAGGCTAAGGCAGTACTATTCTGCTGCTTGTAAGGAATGCCCCATTCGTCAAGAGAAACTCCCGTGACACGTATGTTTCACAAAGAGGTTTACTCAAGCATAACGCAACAGTTACAAACAAAGCCAGAACTGGCTTGGCACATTTCGAGGTACAATTTATAGCTCTCCCCTCCCCGCGTCTTGCCCTGTAGTCAAGTTACATGTTGCGGCTTGTCGGTACCCCAATAATCCCCCTTAATGGTCCAAATGGGAGGTTCAACCAATTTCCCATTGTCCCTGATTGCTCTGCCCCTCTGGCGTGGTCTTGTTTCCTCGGGGTCCTTTCAGCTACGCGCAAAGCTGGGGTTTTCTCGATTGTGCGGTGATTGTCCTTCCATGGCTCGCGGCTTTGCCCTTTGTCTCGGCGCGCGCCGCTCATCAGAGTGGATACAAAACATCCACTCTGCGGTTTCTTGTTAAGGGGGCGAAGGTGGCCCATTAATCAGCCGCGGCTCTCACTTCCTCTTTTTCCCCGGCTTGCAGGCGAGCGGTACAATTGGCTCAGCGTGGCTGGCCGGGTTTCCTAGCAGTGCCGCACCGGCTGAACCTGACACTGCTATTTAATAGTAAATAGTACAAGTTCAAGAGCCCGTGTCCAGAATCCAAATCCTGGAGAAGGTCCAGATTCAAAGCCAAATGAGACATTATGGAAAAGATATATTTAATATGGCCTTGGTATAATGTGGGTATATTTGAGTGAAACAAAACAAGGGAGGCTATTAGACTGAATGGAAGAATGAAAAGGGACAATAAAGAAGACCATTAGTCTTATCCCTCTGGCTGATTTTCCACTTAAGGCTCTCCTGCTCTCCAATATAATTCATATGAATAGAATTGATGGGTAACAATTCTCTTGTTTGTCTGTATTTGATTCATACTTGCACATGTGCACACAGATCCCTTAGTTCAGTTAGGTGGACTGAAACTATCCTTGGAAAGTGACATGGTAAAGATTAATCACTACAAAATTTTTGTCTGCATTTGGATATCGAACATTCATCATCAAAACACCAATTGCAAGACGGGAATATGTATGTTCACTTCATTTGGAATCATTCCAGTTGCTAAAAAACAGCAAATTCATAAAGCTCAGAAACAGATGACTAGCTTTTCCATATGGTTCTCTTTCATCTACTAAGGTGAAAAAAATTCAGGCTATATATTTTCCCAGGAGACTGACTGGCAAAATACCATACAACAGATTATTCCTCAAAATGAAGATGAAGGAATTGAGAATGATTGTAGACATCAGCAGGGCATTTTGTTTATGTCTATGGAGCACGTTTTTGCCAAGCCTCAAGTAGATGAAGATGGTGGCGGCATAGTCAATGTCCAACGAGGTGAAGGTGAACTTTTCACAACAGTAGCAGTTGGGATCCTGAGAAAATCCTCAGAGAGGAAGGCAACATACTATTATCACAATAGAAGAGTTTAAGACAAACATAATCCCAAGAAAGAGATCCCAGAGTTTAATTATGTGGATGACTGAGCAAAGATGCATTATGACAGAAAAAGAGGTTAATCTTAGAGCTGCAGAACAAAAGAAGAGCCCTGAGAAATTTTGGTGGAAACAAGGGGAAAAACGAAGTTGAATATAGTCTCAGGATGGTGGAATAGTGCAGGGAGTGACAGATGGCCATAGCAATTAATAGGAAAAAAAAAACATTCTGCTGTCCAGGGAAACGTAGAAGTAAAATTGAACCAGGCAACCTGCAAAGAGAATTGTTTCTATTTTAGCCATAAGGTCTGCACTAACATTCTGGGAATTGCAGTTAACTGAGTAATAATTCTGCTACAGGGAAATTAAACAGGATGGATGGGTGGGTGGATGGATGAATGGAGATAGAGAAAGAGAGAGAGAGAGAGGGAGGGAGGGAGGGAGAGATCTGGGTGTGAAACCAGGGATACAGAGAACATGGCTTGTCAGCTGACATTAAGAATCTACACACTCTCAGGGGGCATTTGTGCTCAAAGCAGCTCATTGTTATGCCTCTTGATCAGAGGTTCTGGGGATTATATTTTTTTTAATTAAAAAGTTCTGTGATCTGAAAAAGTTTGAAAACCCCTAAATTATACAAAACAGAAATTACTAGAAATTAGACTAGAAGTCATGAGGAAAAGGTCTCTAGAAAGCATGGAGCTAATTAAAAAAGTAAATCAATATGTAGCGGTTAAGGTATTGGACTAAGAGTGGGGAGATTCAGTCTCAAATCCATCCTCAACCACTGAAGCTCATTGGGTGATTTTTGACTACCCCAAAGCCTCAGGTACTACTAGGCAACTGTAAGCCAAGAGTTGCAGGCATGGAGGTCTGCAAGGCAGGTCAAGGAGGATGAGACAAAATCCCCAGGATCCAAACTTGAAGACTCATCATCATCATCATCATCATCATCATCATCATCATCATCATCATCATCATGGTAATAGTAATAAGGAGAAGGAGAAAGAAAAGGAAGAGGGGTGGGGGAAACTATTCTCTAGTGTTTCCATGAGTGAAAAATCAAAATGAGTATCCAGCGCTTGAACCTTGCAGTGTTCTAGCCAATGAATGAAGAGGCCTTACAA